ATCCTTTAAACGAGCAATTCTTGTATATATATATATAATAATAATCGGAACTTTATTCAGACATTCCGATTATATTTTAATTATATTAATTATTTTCTTTATTTTTTATTTTTTTTTTATTTCCAAAATACATGATTTACCAAAAAAAACCTCCAGGGTCCTCCAGGTACTGTTTATTTAAAGAAAGAATAGAAACAACCTAAATATGTCCACTGTAGGCAAAGGCCTCCTCTGTAAAGAGGGTTTTAATTAGGACATTGTTCACCACGCGATCCCACTGCGGATTGGCGGACTTCAAATATTACAATGACACTCGAAAAGATGTGATTTTTGTTATTACTTCGAAGATATCTAGGTTTTCTTTTGAGCAAAAACTAATAATTTTAGGGTTATGCCGAGGTTGTTTACTGACGGTAGTGAGACTGTCGAAATGAATTTCTAGGTCAGCCGTTTTTTTGCTTGCTTATAGAGACGAGATACGCGTACCGCAGGAGAATGGAGAATCACGACCCAAATTTTTCCTGCACATCATCATTTCAGCCTGCTTGAGTCCACTGTCCCCCACATACTGCCACGCAGCACCATCCTGAGCCTGCATACATCGCCCTGCACAGTTTCTTATTAAATTCTGTAATTCTTTGTTCTGTTAAATCTTGTTATATATAAAGTCATTTCTCCATTGCGATCTTCACGTGATCATTGTAAACGTTGTAAGGGTTTGTACTTTTCTTAAGAATTTCTGCACATCTGTTTCGGTGTTCACGAAATGATTGTGTTGTTAATCAACAATCACAACTCTCCACTCGTCATCGTTACTCCATAGTGCGAATGGCCTTTAAATCATCGCGCAGTACTGAGAACCACTTTAGCTTAAGGCGTTCACGTTGTTTGGCCAAGAGTCAAGAATGCCACGTATTGGCGCCGCATGGAAAACGACATAAATTCGGCCTCAGTCGACTGCACTAACTTACTTATTGTTCGCAATTCCTCGATTGAAATTAAAGTATATAAACCTTTAATTAGTTACTGCTTTTTTTTCTTTTTACTCGAAACTGGCCAGCACTTCACTGCCATCACACCTGATGGTAAGTGGCAATGCCATTGATGTTAAGGTATCAGGTTTATCGGTGGTCGGGCCACGCAGCAGCCTCGGTTGTTGCACGAATGGGCAGGTCCGTCCGGGTAAGTACCACGACCTCACAGAAGACCAGCGTAAAGTGGAAGTATGACAAATACTTACGCGTTTCGTCTGGTGCGTGTGGTAGCCAGAGCCGAATTTTCAAAAGGTTGTCAACGAATCTGCAACCCTCGGGTGTGGCATATGTCCATGGGCGGCGGTAGTCACTTACCATCAGGTGAACCGTCTGCTCGTTTGGCAACTTTTCACATAAAAAAGAGGTAGCTCGGTAAACACTTATTTACTCTTGTCTTGAAGACTTTTTTGGTGATATCATCCGTCCATGGAAATTAGCAACACCTGGCTACGAAAAGTGGGCCTTAGCTATCTCACTCGCTAGATGAAACACGACAGAATATCATATCGACTGTGGTAGGGCCACGCCACGGTGTTGCACGAATGGGCAGGGTCGTCCGGGTTAGTACCACACGAGACCGGCAGAAGACCGGTCTAAATTAGAAGTGTTAGACTTCTGCGTTTCGACGGGTGAGTGGGTAGCTGGGGCGCACTTTATTTAAAGGTGGCAAAAAAATGGAGCCGGGCTTCTGTAAAGGTTCTGATAGGCCGTGGTACTTCCCCGGACGAGCCTTCTCATTTTCGTTGAAAGCAGAAACCATTGCGTGGCCCTACCGCAATTAAAATCTATCTCCATTTAGGTGCAGTCAATGGTTTAAGTCTTCACCAGCCTTTGCGTGCCATTTTATGTATTCAGTTCCCACGTGGAATAGTAATATGTTCGATCAGTCAATATCTGTTCCGAATTCCTCTTACCGTACGGGATTTTTTTTTTAAAAACATTGCCCTTACATTAGTTTAACATTATCCTGTGTTGTAAGAACGTTTTACAAACATAAATTTCACGGCGGACAAACACCCAGATGCGAAACAGCTATCTGTGGGCCACACAAATAGATATCCCGCGCGGGAATCGAACCCGCGACCCTCGACGCCGAAGCCGACACCTTGGCCACTGCGCCACGGAGTCATCAATACTTTGTGGCCGTGTTTTTGTTGACCGATAACGGAAGATGTTTTTTTATAGAAATAACTAGCTGACTCGGCAAACGTTATTTTGCCATATAAATTATTTCTAGAGGAATCGGAACGCACGCATAAAGTGTTTGACAGGTTACACAGACATAGTTGACAGGTTGACAGGTACAGTTTGTATGGTCAGTTTGTTCAGTCTTTAAACTATTAATGCTTGATCGAACGCAGAACCGATTGGCTAGCCAGAACCTCGTGGGGTGTTGTCCTCGCATATTGCGAGGACGTAATCACCCGGAAGGAGGCAGCGGAAAGACTAAGGGAGGCAACTGCTACCCTGGATATCCGCCGCCGGAGACCAGGGCGTAGGAGGCTGGCCTACGCGTGCAACCTTCCCCCCTGATAGCGAGACCCCGAGTGGCAGGCATGGGGACGTCTGCTGATGCACATGGGACTCGTAAGGAGTGCTGTGCTAGTTGCACCGGCACAGCACCATTAAGCCGACCTGGGTAGCTTAGCACCCGTGAAGAGGAGGTCTAAGAAGGCCAAAGTCGTGCCGGGGTCGCGGAAGATTGCGTCTTCGTGTTCCCGTGTCCCCGGCTGATGCGACAGAGACAGATGCAACGTGGGTTTTTAGTGGGTACCCGTTTCTGACAAGGACTCCCACATACCCCTGCCCCTCCCCCATCTGGTGGCAGGGGATCCATAAAGGATTTTTCCCACGTAAAAAAAAAAGGCTACCCAGAACCCACTTCCGTTTACCGAGACATCGGCGGCGTTCGACTGTTTCACCAGTATGTACAACTCTAGGTGGTTTTCAATGCTAAACTAAAAATCAGCGCTGTGTTGGGGTTTTGACTTCCGGCGCAGAGTAATAATGATTAATTACCGGTATTTTTTTTTTTTCGTTAAACTTACTTTTTTGTCGTGTGAGTCCTTTTTCTTGGTAATTAGATATATTTACTTCTTTCATCTTCTACTTTACAAGCTCCCTAATCTTTAATTTCTAATGGCGTAGACAGAGGTACCTCGTGGTATTCATTGTACGCCCCGTTCTCTAACGTCTCCTTCATTTCAAAGGTTTACTTTCAAGATCATTTGGTTCACCTGATAGTAAGAGATTACCGCCGCTCATTGATATCCAATACACACGTGGTGTTCCAGTTGCGTTTTAAACCTTTACGAGCGATTTTCTCCGGTTATATCATTCAACTATGATATGTATGTATCGTCTCTTTTATTCGTTATTTCTTCTGTCGCCCTTACGCCAGTCTTCTGTTTGGTGTTAGTACCAGGTCCGTTCTATTCATGCATTTGAAAATTCTGGGTGGCTCGTCTACGATATGATAGGTGACAGTCTGCTACTCACGGACGCGGTGTATAGATATATATGAGATAGAGGTCAAGGAATGATATAAAGTATCTTTTACAGCTCAGCATAGCTCTGCATTAAATAATGGTGGTTTAATAATAATTGGTAAAGCTATGCGAGTATCCATTAGCCTGATGAACGAAGATTAAATGTTTGTGAAATTTAATCTAGCCGATTAAAAACCGAATATTAACATTAAAGCAGTTATGAATCAATCAGTACATGTATGACACAGTCATTAATGTACCGATATTTATAAAAATATTGAATATAATATATTGTGGACAAATGCGATGTGATTCTAAATAATGTTTATTTATTCACGTAAACCACATGATGCTCTTAAGGATACGGCCGTCAGAACCGCAGCGTTTTACCATTCACCACATATTACATCAGCAACACTATTCACATATAACAGTTATGGACCGCGAAGTTATTTAGTCCAAGTGTAAAGTAAACTCATGAATCTATCCGTCTATCCAATTCACAATAAGCATATACAACATCTGGCATCGTAGATAACGGAGTCTGTAGAGATGATAGCTGGCAGGTTTAATGAAGACAGACGCACCGCAGACGCGGGGTCTAGTTAGGTTCTTAGTACGACAACAACGGTTTTATCTCGACAACGTTTGCTCTCCCCATATCGAGTAAACTTTTTTATGTGAGAAGGTGGCAAATGCGCTGGCGGTTCATCTGATGTTAAGTGACAACCGCCGCTCACGGACATTTGCAACACCCGTAGGGTTGCAGGCGCGTTGCGACCTTTTCATAAAGCTGTTCGCCTCACTGACCAGACGGAACGCAGAAGTGTAACACTTCCACTTACCGCCAGTTTCCTGTGAGGTCGTGGTACTCACCCGGACGGACCTGCCCATTCGTGCAACAGTGAAGACTTAGCCCTGCCACAGTTACAAATGTATCATAGACATAATTAAAATAATAAATGAAAAATGAAAATATGTTTATTGACAAACAGAATTACAATTAAGTACATTGTGCGTTGGCACCACACTAGGCAAAGCCTGTCTTGTGTTTGCCAGTTACGATTGCCATCTATTTTACAAATTTGCCAGTCAAAAGATCGCTTCATACTAAAACTTTAATAAATATTACTAAAACTTTTAATTTTAACAAAATTTTATATTAATTTAATATGAGCAAAAATAAGAAATAAAATAAAACATTGTTTGTTCCCACAATAATTGTTTTACTAAACAATACAATATCAAGCTTCGAATGGATTTAACAAATCAAGTGAACAATTCAAAATTTCCGATTCCTAATTAAAATAAGAAAAAACTCTAAAATATGACGCCTTAGGGATAGCCATAGACCATATGTTGCAACAGGGCAAGCTGTTACTCGATATACTATGTTACAACGGTGGCTGGTCATTGCATTCCACTGATACTCTAGTTCAGCCGTTAGCTGTTTGCTAATGTGAGGTGTTGTTCCCAGGGTGCGGTCTTCGACCGATGGACGGAGGAGAAAGACAACACCGAGCTGGAGCAGAACTGCCTTTTCAAGGTCGACGAGTATGGCTTCTTCATCTACTGGAAGAGCGACGGAAAGGTGAGCCATTTGCACCTTCGATCTGCGGATGACATTAAAAATTTGGAAAATTTTAACGTATTCGAACGTATGTGAAGTCCGCCAGTGCAGGGGTTTGCGTGACGGACTATGCCCTAATATTTCACGCCGGTCTTTGAGACCGCGGTACATCCCCGAACGAGCCTGCCCATTCCTGCAACAGCAGCTGCCGTGTGTCCCTAGCACTTAAAAAAACTAGTCCAGTTAAAAGGCGTGGAAGACAAACAAGAAGGCAGACATGTTAGCTTGTGATAAATAAATGAACAAAAGCAAGGATTGTAATTTTTAAGCCACACGTGTCTTAGCTTATGTCTTAGATGTAACGATCTATTAGGACTTATTGAAGCATAATTTCATCTCATGAGAGCCAGCCTTTATGATATTAACATACCCCATTAAATAGGCCGACGCAGAATACAACTTTGTCCCAAGTTCTACGCCTCGGTTACGGACCGCTGTAACATTAAACTTAAGTTGCTATCATATTACTTAGCAACTTTGCTGATCAACTTGGTCCAACCTAATTGCACAGAGTCCTTAACATAATTGGAACGTTCACGATCAATTAAGATCAAGGCATTATAGATAAGATTACTTATTTTTAGTGTCGGTTCCATTATTTGTTTTTTCCAAACTAACGCAGCATCACCCGACTTATTCTTAGTTATGAGTACAGATAATTATAATAGCCAGCGAAGAAGCTATAGTTGTGACTTCTTATTTTCATTCAAATGCGATTTTCTGATGAAAAGTGAACAAACATACGGACAAACATTTTTCCATGTGTAACTACAGTGCGGATACGATTCTACATAAACGCCACCGTGAACTATTGTTATATACGGACAGATTGCATCGGTGACTCATAGCACGTATGTCTTATAACATAAGCTTGTTTAAATGCTATCGTTTCTTATGTGATTATTGTTATGATTTACTAAATGATGGGCATAACAACCTAAAAAGCTTTTATAATATCAATAATCAGGTACACGATAAGAACACAAAAAAATTAAATCGGTAAATACGAAAACTCGAGAAAAGGCACTTAAGTAAGACTAAATAAATTGAAAGAATAAAAGACAAAATAAAATTTGCTTTGTAGTATAAGTATTAATGCTTTTAAGGTCAATCCTATCGAAGAAGATAGTTGAGAGGCGTAACTACTACATTATTCAGGGGATTTACTAATTGAATTCTTCTTTGAGCATTTATTTTGAACAAACAACTTTCAATGGAAAATCCCCGCAGGTAAAGCAAATCGTATATACACGAATATTGCGAGCAACAAAACTTATTGGTCTTGGAATTATATCTAGTGCTGTCCTCAATCTATTTCCCAGCGGAGCGGGGGTAGATGCAATGCGAGCATCGATGTATACGACAAGTAGTTGGTATCCGCGATGAATATAAAATGAGAAATGATATTAGTTATCAAAGCTCTCTTGGACATTAATCTCTAAGGAGGGAAGGCGGGAATAGTTATAAACTTTTCAACCGATTGAAGGTAAACGTGCGACTGTACTTTGGTCACAAATACTGAACACAAAAGCAAGCCATCTTTTTTCTCTTGTTCTAATTCCTCTTTTGATGGTATTAGTTTTTCACGACCTGACCGATGATAACGCTATTTGGGAATACACCCAGAAATGTGAGACTATTCTAAATTATCTTTAGGATCGCATAAATTCTGGGAGTCGAACCTACCTACATACCCTGGTCGAAGTTGGTCGGTAGCAGAGCCACATAGTAAAAGTAGCCACATAGTAAGATGTAAATGAAATAAGCCACCCATGGACATCTGCTACACCTGAGGGTTACAGATGCGTTGACAACCTTTATAAAATTGGGCTCCGGCTACCTCATCCACCAGACGAAACTCGGAAGTATTTGTCATACTTCCACTTTACGCTGGTCTTCACAGAAGACCAGCGTAAAGTGGAAGTATGACAAGTAGGACGTGGTACTTACCCGGACGGGCCTGCCCATTCCTGCAACAGCCGAGGCTGTCTTTTATTTAATGCGTGCATTTCCACATGCTTCATTCTGTTTAACTAGCGCCTAACAAGCCTAGCCTTCCCACGAGCCCTGTGAAGGTACTTCCTGCTGAAGTTTTATATAGTATAGATTTCCATGCCAGTCGGTAATCACTTATTGATAACTAAACTATCTAAAGCAAAAATATTCGTCCATCATCGCCTCTATAGTGATCGTCCTGAACATTGTCATAGCGACTGTCGTCATAAATTATCTTTGAGTTTCCTCAATGAACTGCTTATAGTTAAATGGAACTTAGATAATTAGAAATTCAATTACAAGATTCATTCACGCACAGGTTTTGGCTTCGGCAAACGCCCCACCTTGTAATTAAACTAAGGTCTGCGATTTATACTCCTTCACAGTCACAAGTAACATATATTATTGACCTTTTGTGACCTTTTAAACTAGAGGTCTGAAAAGTACTCGCATTGCAGCTTACAACATACAGCTTTATATAAAAACAATATAGAATGAGCTCGACGTTGTCTCCGACAAAGTTTGTCCACAACAAAATTAATTTGGTGCGAGATTTACGTCGACGGTGCCTAAGTCAGATTATTAAACAAATCCTTTTTTTTTCTTCCAAATCAGCATTATTATGTTCATAACAAAAGTCCCTTTCACTTTGTTGATTTCATTTAGATCTGCGGTTAAGTTTTTGTGTAAAGTGGATACTGTTAAAAATTGTCATGTAATTATTATAACCTGATTAGGCACTAAACCCGATCGAAAAAATTGCAACAGCAAAAGGAAAATTAAACCTTTGCAGAGAATGAAAATATCTAAGTCGTTGTTTACACATAAAATTTTTTATATTTTATAGATAGCGAAAAAGATCCTAAAAACTAAATTGAGTAAATTTACAGCTTTGATGTGTTGAAATAGAAAAATTTCAATTTTTCTGTTTATTGCGTAATGTATGATGAATGACGATGTCACGATTTGTTACAAAAATAAAGCAATCATCTAAAAATACATATTTCAAATCAACGCCGTCTGTCTCGATAGCTATTATACGCCATTGACATTTAAAAATATTTTCTTACGAGATTCATTTTATTTGCGTTATAAGTTCTGACAACTTAGAATAAGAGTGGAGAGCCGCTTATTTTTGATTCCACATTCGACGTCTGAAACAAACTACAAAGAGGATCTTAATGGGCTCTTTTAAGCCGAGGGCAATGTTTTCTCTCGACATTATCCCCACCCACGGATGCCAACTTACGAATTTTATTCCTTTCTTTATTCTTTATGTTCAATCCACGACGTAGCTTAGGTGGTGAAAACTTAAAATTAAGAATCATCTTGGATCCTGTTAAGGCATAGCAACAGTAAAAATTGTTAAGACTCAAATACAAATAAAATTAAATAAATTAAAAATACAAATACAAATACCTAATTTAAAAAAAAATTAATGGAAATTGTTTTAGGAAGTAATATAAAAAATACCACATAAATGAGAAACATTTGGGAAGTTTGATTGGAATTAGTTAATTTTAGTGGGTTTTTGAGTTGCTTTAGGAGTATTTTTTTAAACATTTGGTAACACTGCACCTTGCACCCCTCAGACAATTTACAGAGTCGCTTAGCCTCTAATATCGTCGAACACAAGCGCTTCCCACTCAGAAACGGAGAACGTTCCAGAAAGTTCCTAATTTCTGTTCATTCCGCACGTGCACTTACTAAAATAAATAATTCATTCGTGAATTATTAAAAGCTTTTGAGAGCAACATATTGTTCAGTAATTGGTTATGATGGTCATGTGTGTATGTGCAATACATACCATTTATGTTGTTGTAGGTCTATTACTGTTCCGTTGATATATAAAGCATTTGACCTTTTAGATTTTCAATCTACTGTATTACCTAAATATTGAGTAGGCGGAGATGGGAAATAGAAAGAAAGTATCGTAAAATGCTTTGTGGTTTTACGTAGCTTACTCGAATCGGCTGCAGAATAAACAGGCTTGCTAATTTTTTTGCCGTTGTTACATATAAACGTACGGAACCCTTCACGCGCGAGTCCGACTCGCACTTGGCCAGTTTTTTTAATGTTCTTACAGCATTAGTAGCCCTAAAAGTTTATATCACATAACATAGGTCTACCACCCGTTCGCTCGCCATCTTGATAAATAAAAAGAGTCTCATTTGTAATGTAAATACAGCCTAGCTTTTATCGTCGATGTTATATATGTATATTAAAAAATATTCATGCCAGTAGATACATTGTACGTTTGTAATATTTTTTAAATATACTTGTTCATTTTTATGATAACCACTGCTAATTAGCGTGCGCGATTGCGGGTTGCAAATTAAAAAAAAAACGGCGCGGTTGTGAGTTAAAGTCCATGCGTTCATATAAATCTGCAGCGAACCATATAAAAATTAGATGATAGTATGATGAGAACTATATTATTATTTTTATATGGTTCTAGAGAAAACACGAGGGCTACCTTTTTTATTTTAATTGCTAGCGACTCGCCCCGGCTGCGCACGGGTACAATTTATTATAAATATAAACCCTCCTCTTGAATCACTCTGTCTAATAAAAAAACCGCATCAAAGCATACATAGGGACAGACAGACAGCGGGACGACTTTGTTTCATACTATGTAGTGATTCCTCATTACGATTTCTTCAAAATTCCATGATGCAAAAGTCGGACTTAATGCCTTCTCTGTTAATTTCAAATATCTTTACTCAATATAGAAGCTTCACACTCGCTTATTGATAATCAAAATACTTATTGATTGTAAGTTTGTCAGTCAACCTATGACTACGTGAAATATTTAGGCAGGTGCAAAAACCAAGTTAACTCAAATTACTAACATCTTGTCAAGTGCACTGACCCCAAGTTGTTCCACTTAATACAGATCATTTATTTTTATAACGATCGCAATAGTACCTCAACGTTGCTTCGAATTAATTGCGCAACAGGTTTAT